CAGCAATATGGTCATCAGTCATCAAGCCGATTACAGTGTCTTTTTTGCGCATCTTGAGAATGTGCATTCCATTTACAAGTACATTCTCGGAATATTCCAAGTACTTGTTAAGTTTTTTCCATATCACCTTGGATTTATCTGTTGGTCCTTCTACTGGTACTTCTTCTTCTACTTCGATCTCCTCGTTGAAAAGCGTCTTTCTTCTTCATCAGACAATGGTTGAAGTTTCATCTTGCTAAGCATGGAGCGTTCCAAGATATCCAACTCTGGAACATCACCGACACCGCGCAGAGCATCAAGCGTAAACAGGCCAACGTATGTATTCTTTCCAGATAGCCTGACAATGTACTTGCCATTCATCGTAAACTTAGTTGCATACTCAAGCATGTCGTTATTAGGATGAATCATCCATCCTCTGTCCTTCGCACGTGGCTATGTCTTTCTCTTGATCTAATGTTAAGCACCGTTGTGGCCAGTGCAAATGTATGTTCATCTTTTCATCCTTAGAAACATCTACATTAGAAGATGGCTCTGCATTTTTGGGCATCTTTGAAGGCCTTTTCTTTCGAAGAGTCTTCTTCTTATCATCAGCAGAAGACTCTTCTATTTTTTCTACATCTGCAGGAGTTGCCTCTTGGAGTCCCATCTTTTGTAATATACGTGCCTCTTTTTCAGATATTTCCGGTACAGGAAGATTTTTGCCCATGAGCTCAGGTGGACACAATACAACGTAGAGATCCTTTTCCTTCAGCTTAATAATGTACTTGCCATTTACAGTAAAGTTCTTTGCATACAGAAAAGCTGGATTAGTTGCATAACGCATCCATATGCCTGTATTAGCGAGTGGTACATTTTTCTTGGACGTTATGTCAACTACCTTTGGACTCAACGGAAAGGAGACGGCAATTTTATCTTCTTCATCATCATCGTCGGACGGCTCTTCATCCTCGGAAGTCATATCGTCATCAGATGATACAAACTTAGAAGTATGTGTCTTCTTTAAAGCCTTGGAAGACTTGGGACGCGTAACGACAGGTGCATTCTTGTTACCACGTTTTATATGACCTCTATCTTGATCTTGATGACGCCCACAGTATGTTTGACCAATTTTGGCTACACTACCACAATTAGCGCCCTTAATGGTTGTGCCTTGACACTTGCGCGCAGGATCGTGGACATAACAATGCATGCCTTCATCGTCAACTTCCTTCATGCATTTACGCTTGGACTTGACGCACTTTGCTCCACAAAAGTAGTATCTCTCCACTTCCTTATCCCCATCAAGCGCCTTAAAAATCTTATTTGCATCTTTCTTGGTAAACTCCACTCCCTTCTTAGAAGAAAATGTCTCGAAGGCCTTGGTGATGAGCTCGATTGTAAGCTGAACGTACTGCATGTTTTTGGATATGAACGATATAGATTGTACTTGTGGTATGGTGGGTGTGAATGACTTTTCAGTTTATGTGTGGTAGATTGCAGCTGCTTAGTACACTGATATAAAGAATTGCAATAAAAGATGGTTGTATAGGTATGGATGGTTGTATAGATATGGATAATGGTTGGTTGGTTACTAGATAAGATAAAGATTAAGCAAGAGGGAAGTGGAGTCCTTTATTTATACTAATTCATGGGACACTGCCATATTGGATATTAATAGCGCTTGCTTATTAACACTGCTTGGCGCTTAGTAACAAAAGAGTTTTAAAAAGGCATCTAAGTGGTTAATAACGTAGTGTTCCTCGTATGACGTAGATCTTGCTTATTAAGACTGCTTGGCGTTAAAGACGGGGTTTAAAAATGGTTAAGAATGTAGTATTCTTTTATGACGTAGGTTTGTACATGTGTTTATGTATTCTTTTATGACGTAGGTTTGTACATGTGTTTATCCTCTTTGTTAAATAAAAAGGAATGTTGTAGAATAGCATAGAATAGCATCCGATCTACTACAATAATACCATGACTTTTAATAATAGATACCGGTGCATATTAGCGTCTAGGCAGTTAATACCGTATCTCAACGCTGACTAAATAGGCTATGTATGACTATTCTTTTAAGAACCTGCAATAAGTCTACAGATTACCATTAACATCCATTTGTCGCTTCGTACCTCTAAGCTCAATGGAAAGACCGGGTTGCATTATTACTGCTTGATCCATTGGTGTGTCCTCATCAACATTAACATCAACATCACCATGAAGATTAATACCAAGAAATTTGTTCTGGAGTTGTGCCATTGTATTTCCATCCTCCACTAGCGCACCAACATCAACATATCCCATTGGTTGCTCAACGTCGTTCTCTGTCGTCGGATACTCGAATCCTTCGCGAAGCCAAGCTGTATGAATTGGTTCTGCAGAAATCTTCAACAAAGCAACCATCTTTTTCATGTTTAAGAGTAACAAAGATAACTTCAACTGCAAATTATATGTTTGTTTCTTATCCACCAACACAGGAGTACGGTTGTTGTGTTTCTCAAATGTGGAACCAAGGTCTGCAAACAGAGATTCCATCTGCGAGCGGAAACTACCAAAGGTGGTATTGTATAACGCTTCTTCCTGTGTAAGTTCCTTGTTCTTCTGTTTACGGTATGGATGAGCGAAATTTTGGACTTTAAGAGTATCAGACTCATCTATAAGCCTCCTTAAGAACTGTGGATACCCTCCATCGAGAGCAATGCAATCCATCTCATGCACTCTCTTGTCCAACGTCATCGTTAGCAGCATTGTTCCATCAGCATTGTTCTTGCAAGATGCAGATTTGGAGACAAATAAAGCCATGCCATTACAATCCATTGCTACCTGTGTGCGTAATCCTGACTTTTTCAGCTTGTAAGAGTACATATCAGCACTACTCTCACCTTTGTATGTTGCTCTTGTATCATGACCATCAAGATGCAATGTAACATGCTTAAATAATGGAGGATTCTTTTCCTTTGCAGACAAAAGGCGTATTTTAATTGTGGAGAACATTGTTGCAATACAGTTGGTGATGTACTTGTTGTGCAAAGTATATTCTTTCTTATAAAACACAGAGTGCATTGCATGAAAACTACTTTTTGGCATGTGTGGTTCCATTGCTTCCATAGACAGTCCTTTGACAAGATGGTAGAGCATTAAAAGACCTTTCTCCACTTCTTTGTATGGACCAGGATACTTAACCTTTGGCCAGATGTCAACAAGAAAGAAGTACACTGGAATAGGACCAAGGCGTCGATTTAGGGTTTCTTTTATTTCTGGCATATACCCAATTTCCTTGCTTACAGTACGATGATTATTACGTGGTGTAATTGTTGGCCATCCAGCGTTGAGGAAAGTCCAATGGTCATCAAGCAGTTGTTTGAAGTGTTTTGTTAGATCCATAATAATATTTATGTATTGGATTGTCATGACGTTAACCAACAATAACAATTTTTTAAAAAGGCTTATACTTAACTGCATACACAACAGCATGTAGGATGGTATCTATCATATAGCAAGCACATAGTTGAGAATACAAATATATTTTTATATTTTTTTCGGTAGCGGCCCCTTCATGTGCAGAGGATATAAAAAGGCATATAAAAAATATCCAAAGCCCAAGGAACGGAGTGTTTACTTCCATAACTGACATATCTCTTCATAGTGGGCAACAGAACACAGAATAAAATAGCAATAGACAGCACATGTTTTTTTAAAATGTAATCTCTCCCTGTATTTCGCCCCAAAGATACAGTTGAGAGTACAAGTGCTTTAGATGATGACATACAAGAACTACTCTGGCGAATCTTGCAGTGAGGGTTACAGGTTAATAGTAGATGGACATATTCAAGAGTGTGGTGTGCGAAAAATAAGAAGACTGTTGTTTGGAGAATAGGTTGGTGTTTAGTAGGATAGTTAAACAAAAAATGTTACAATGGTTGTCTTATATGCTTGGTATCATATATACATTCTCATCCCATAGTCGCTATGGATATTGTCGAGATCTACAGAGATGTAACAAACACCATATGATAACTTGGACGTGAAAGGCCTCCTAGGTGAATGTTTTAAAAAAATATGGGTAATGCATAATGGTGAGGGTGCATGCATTGTGGAACGTCTCAGATGAAGTTATCGTGGTTTTATAATGTTTGATGTAACATACTTTGTAGGAAGTTACGATTGTTATAATATTTGTTGATATGCGGCCTCCTATACAGATCGTTGGTAAATATGCCAATGGTGAAAAAATAAATGTCATAAAGAGTGCATGCATTGTAGAACATATTAGATATAGTTATTGTAATTTTCGTAATGTTAAATATAAGTAGATTGTGGATAAACACCACTGTGATCAAGAAAGAAATATTGTAAATTGTGCAAAGGATGGTGGAAGTTTTTAAAAAGATGGGTAATATATCTGGTGAATCTCATTGGAAGGGACGAGGATAATATTACATGTGTATTCCATATATAAAAGCTTTATTTGTGCAAGTGGTATATCTACAGTTTTTAAAATTCTTGATCTACTCTTCTGCGGTCTCAAATGTTACTTCAAGAGGCTTCTTTTCTTCCATCGTACTTTTCTCTTTGGCTTGAATACTATCTAATACACTTTGCACTATGGTTTTTCTGTTGTTAGATCCTTCTTTTGCAAACTTACATAATATATCGGAATGTGGTTCGCGGGAACCAAACTTATCCATGTGCCATGTTTCGTAGTTGGAATAATCTTTCTCCAACAAACCTAGGTGAAAAATTAGTTCTTTTTCTCTGCATTACCATCTGCCGAAACGTATTCCTCGCGGAGTTCTTCTTCGATAGCTGTTTATTTTGCTATATACTTCTCCCATTGCCTTCAGAAAATCATGATGGTCTTTGTAGTGTAAACACTTGAGGCATTCACATTTTCGCTTTCCATAGGTCCACCATCTTCTAGAGTTTTCTTAACATCCGACTCTTGCACCTCATCATCTACTTTTTCTACAAGTTCATCTAAAGTTTCCTTATATTCGACTCTTGCACCTCATCATCTATTTTTTCTACCGGTTCACCTTTCTCTGTCGACCTATCCTTAGACCATTGTGGCTTAAAGCCCATAGCGAAGATCTTTTCTTTTCCTTTTGGTTAAGATTATCATAGTCGACATTCTCTGCACTAATGTGGTCATCAGTCACCAAGCCAACTACAATGTTTTGCTTGCGGATCTTGAGAATGTGCTTTCCATTTACAAGTACATTCTTGGAATACTCCAATTGCTGCTTGTGAAACCTTTTCCATTTCATCTTGGATATATCTGTCGGTCCTTCCACTGGTAGTTCCTCTTCTACTTCGACCTCCTCGTTGAAAAGCATCTTTCTCTCTTCATCAGACATTTCTTGAAGTTTCATCTTGCTAAGCATGGAGCGTTCCAAGATATCCATCTCTGGAACATCACCACCGCCACGCAGATGATCAAGCGTAAACAGGCCAACGTATGTATTCTTTCCACATAGCTTGACAATGTACTTAGCCTTCATCGTAAAGTTAGTTGCATACTCAAGCATGTCGTTATTAGGATGAACCATCCATCCTCCATCCTTTGCAAGTGGTATGTCTTTCTCTGATCTAATGTTACGCACCGTTGTGGCCAGTGCAAATGTGTGTTCATCTTTTTCATCCTTAGAAACATCTACATTAGAAGATGGCTCTGCATTTTTGGGCATCTCTGAATGCCTTTTCTTTCGAGAAGTCTTCTTCTCATCATCCTTAGATGGCTTTTTATGAGATAGTTTTTCATCAGGGTTATCCTTAGAGGTATCATCTCCAGATTCTACATCAGATCTGTTATTGGACTTGCCATCATCAGAGTCTTTATCTTTAGAGGAATCATCGTCAGAGTCAGCATTATCAGACGTATCACCATCATCTGTATCATCGTCAGAATTCTCATCAGCAGAAGACTCTTCTATTTTTTCTACATCTGCTGAAGTTGCCTCTTGAAGACCCATCTTGGCCAATATGCGTGCCTCTTTCTCAGATATTTCTGGCGCAGGGAGATTCTTGCCCATGAGCTTAGGTGGACACAATGCAATGTAGAGATTCTTTTCCTTTAGCCTAATAATGTACTTGCCATTTACAGTAAAGCTTTTTGCATACAGGAAAGCTGGATTAGTTGCATAACGCGTCCATATACATGTATTAGCGAGTGGTACATTTTTCTTGGACGTTATGTCAACTACCTTTGGACTCAACGGAAAGGAGACGGCAAATTATATCTTCTTCATCATCATCATCGGACGGCTCTTCATCCGATGACTCCTGCTTGTTTCTCTTTCGCTTCTTTGGTTCTTCATCCTCGGAAGTCATATCGTCATCGGAAGACACAAACTTAGAAGTATGTGTCTTCTTTAAAGCCTTGGAAGACTTGGTACGCTTGTCGACAGGTGCGTTGTTGTTACTACGTTTTATATAACCTCTATCTTGATCTTGATGACGTCCACAGTATGTTTGACCAAGTTTGGCTACACTACCACAATTAGCACCCTTAATAGTTGTGCCTTGACACTTGCGCGCAGGATCGTGGACATAACAATGCATGCCTTCATCATCAACTTCCTTCATGCATTTGCGCTTGGACTTGGTGCACTTTTCTCCACAAAAGTAGTATCTCTCTACTTCCTCATCCTCATCAAGCGCCTTAAAGATCTTATTTGCATCTTTCTTGTTAAACTCCACTCCCTTCTTAGAGGAGAATGTCTCAAAGGCCTTGGTGATGAGCTCGATTGTAAGCTGAACGTACTTCATGTTTTTGGATATGAATAATATGGATTGTACTTGTGGTATGGTGGGTGTGAATGAGTTTTCAGTTTATGTGTGGTAGATTGCAGCTGCTTAGTACACTGATATAAAGAATTGCAATAAAAGATGGTTGTATAGGTATGGATGGTTGTATAGATATGGATAATTGTTGGTTGGTTACTAGATAAAGATTAAGCAAGAGGGAAGTGGACTCCTTTATTTATACTAATTCAGGAACACTGCCACAATGGACATTAATAGCGCTTGCTTATTAGCACTGCTTGGCGCTTAGTAACAAAAGAGTTTTAAAAAGGCATCTAAGTGGTTAATAATGTAGTGTTCCTCGTATGACGTAGATCTTGCTTATTAAGACTGCTTGGCATTAAAGACGGGTTTAAAAATGGTTAAGAATGTAGTATTATTTTATGACGTAGGTTTGTACATGTGTTTATCCTCTTTGTTAATAAAAAGGAATGCTGTAGAATAGCATAGAATAGCATCCGATCTACTACAATAATACCATGGCTTTTAATAATAGATACCGGTGCATATTAGCGTCTTGGCAGTTAATACCGTATCTTAAAGCTGACTAAATAGGCCATGTATGTCTATTCTTTTAAAAAACCTGCAATAAGTCTACAGATTACCATTAACATCCATTTGTCGATTCGTACTTCTAAGCTCAATGGAAAGGCCGGGTTGCATTATTACTGCTTGATCCATTGGTGTGTCCTCATCAACATCAACATCACCATGAAGTTTAATACCAAGAAATTCGTTCTGGAGTTGTGCCATTGTATTTCCATCCTCCACTAGCGCACCAACATCAACATATCCCATTGGTTGCTCAACGTCGTTCTCTGTTGTCGGATACTCGAATCCTTCGCGAAGCCAAGCTGTATGAATTGGTTCTGCAGAAATCTTCAACAAAGCAACCATCTTTTTCATGTTTAAGAGTAACAAAGATAACTTCAACTGCAAATTATATGTTTGTTTCTTATCCACCAACACAGGAGTACGATTGTTGTGTTTCTCAAATGTGGAACCAAGGTCTGCAAACAGAGATTCCATCTGCGAGCGGAAACTACCAAAGGTGGTATTGTATAACGCTTCTTCCTGTGTAAGTTCCTTGTTCTTCTGTTTACGGTATGGATGAGCGAAATTTGGACTCTAAGAATATCAGACTCATCTATAAGCCTCCTTAAGAACTGTGGATACCCTCCATCGAGAGCAATGCAATCCATCTCATGCACTCTCTTGTCCAACTTCATCGTAAGCAGCATTGTTCCATCAGCATTGTTCTTGCAAGATGCAGATTTGGAGACAAATAAAGCCATGCCATTACAATCCATTGCTACCTGTGTGCGTAATCCAGACTTTTTCAGCTTGTAAGAGTACATATCAGCACTACTCTCACCTTTGTATGTTGCTCTTGTATCATGACCATCAAGATGCAATGTAACATGCTTAAATAATGGAGGATTCTTTTCCTTTGCAGACAATAGGCGTATTTTAATTGTGGAGAACATTGTTGCAATACAGTTGGTGATGTACTTGTTGTGCAAAGTATATTCTTTCTTATAAAACACAGAGTGCATTGCATGAAAACTACTTTTTGGCATGTGTGGTTCCATTGCTTCCATAGACAGTCCTTTGACAAGATGATAGAGCATTAAAAGACCTTTCTCCACTTCTTTGTATGGACCAGGATACTTAACCTTTGGCCAGATGTCAACAAGAAAGAAGTACACTGGAATAGGACCAAGGCGTCGATTTAGGGTTTCTTTATTTCTGGCATATACCCAATTTCCTTGCTTACAGTACGATGATTATTACGTGGTGTAATTGTTGGCCATCCAGCGTTGAGGAAAGTCAATGGTCATCAAGCAGTTGTTGGAAGTGTTTTGTTAGATCCATAATAATATTTATGTATTGGATTGTCATGACGTTAACCAACAATAACAATTTTTTAAAAAGGCTTATACTTAACTGCATACACAACAGCATGTAGGATGGTATCTATCATATAGCAAGCACATAGTTGAGAATACAAATATATTTTTATATTTTTTTCGGTAGGGGCCCTTCATGTGCAGAGGATATAAAAAGGCATATAAAAAATATCCAAAGCCCAAGGAACGGAGTGTTTACTTCCATAACTGACATATCTCTTCATAGTGGGCAACAGAACACAGAATAAAATAGCAATAGACAGCACATGTTTTTTTAAAATGTAATCTCTCCCCTGTATTTCGCCCCAAAGATACAGTTGAGAGTACAAGTGCTTTAGATGATGACATACAAGAACTACTCTGGCGAATCTTGCAGTGAGGGTTACAGGTTAATAGTAGATGGACATATTCAAGAGTGTGGTGTGCGAAAAATAAGAAGACTGTTGTTTGGAGAATAGGTTGGTGTTTAGTAGGATAGTTAAACAAAAAATGTTACAATGGGTTGTCTTATATGCTTGGTATCATATATACATTCTCATCCCATAGTCGCTATGGATATTGTCGAGATCTACAGAGATGTAACAAACACCATATGATAACTTGGACGTGAAAGGCCCTCCAAAGGTGAAGTATGGAGCTATGGGCATTGTTAAAGAAGGAAGAGATAATGCACCGGCCGAGTACAACATCGAGGATGTAGTAGACGACGAGTACCTAAGGGCCTTCGAAAGATTTTCAATTAGTGATAACCCAGTGTCAGACGCATGTGATGGTTACCCATTATTCTCCTTTGGAGAGAAGGACTTTGAGTTAGTACACAAGCACTATGGTTCAAGTAAACGAAAACATCAGCCGGATAATCGACTGTTTGTTCCTGTTTATCTTAATCAAGAGCGACATCTTGCACTCATTGATACTGGTGCCACACATTCATTTATTAGTGCAGCTGTAGTCAAAAAGTATTCTATTCCGGTTAAACCAATGGAAGGATACATTGAATTAGCTGACTCGTCTGTCATTAAACGCGTTGGAGAAACGGAAAACGTAGAGATTGTCTGTGGACAGAATGTGCTTAGCGCGCCATATGAGGTTATTGAACAGAGTCATGCAGTTACCATTGGCATGGATCTCTTTCACCGCTATGGATTCAATATCGTTGGACTACCCGATGCAGATGAGTCGTCTGAACGGATGCCAGCGCCAGTTGAAGACGAAAAGCCCACGCTGATACCTCTCACGATTCCAGAAAGAGAAAAGACGCAGGAATTTATTGCGGAAAAGGACGCGTTCATGAAGAGTATAGAAGAGTCGCTGAGGTTAAACGCCAAGATTCCAAATACAAGTCATTGTACTATACCTGAAATGAAGGTGTATTTGCCAGTCCCTGATGACGTTATCCTCTACCGCAGACCTAAAGTATTTGCTGCATCGCAAATGCCGGTTCTTGATGAAGCAATCCAGAATTGGCTGAAGGATGATGTAATTACATTAGCACCTGCAGGTAATGCACACAACAACACATTAACGCTAGCGGCTAAGAAAGATGCAAACGGAAACAAGACTCTCTACCGAGTGTGCTTGGATCCGCGGCCCTTAAACGTGCACCTACCCGATGATAATTTTCCGGTACCACTTATATCAGACATCATGCAATTTGCTGGAGGCAATGCAGTGTTCTCGACTGTGGACCTAAAGCAGGCGTATCATCGATTACCAATCCATGAAGAAGATCAGCCGTTGACGGCATTTATGCATAACGGGATTCAATATATGTTCAAGAAGGCTCCTTTTGGATTGAAGCCCTTGTCCAGTTTGTTTCAGCGTGGCATGAGCCGAATCCTTGGGGATTTGAAATTTGTCAGAAATTTTATCGATGACATTCTTCTCGCATCAAAGAACAGAAGCGATCATGCGATTCAGATGATAGAGTTGGTTAAACGGCTAACTGATGCCAAGCTTATTATTAACCTTGACAAGTGCAAGTTCTACAATACGCAGGTGGCGTTGCTGGGCTTCATTGTGGATCTTGATGGGAAAAGAATTGATCCCAATAAATTGGTGAATATCAATGATTGGAAACCCCCAACTACGGGTAAGCAGGTTCAATCTTATATGGGGACTTTTAATTTTTTCCGCGATCACGTACCCATTATAGCTACCATTAGCGCTCCGCTAGATGCTATGCGTAATGTGGTGGGTCCATTTACGTTGAATGCTGCTCAGTTGAAGAGCTTTGAGGCACTAAAGAATTTGTTGGTCTTATCGCCCATAATTTGCTGGGTGGATTTCAATTTGCCGTTATATGTTGCTACAGATGCATCTAACGTTGGAATTGGAGCAATTTTATATCAGCTGCCGGAAGGCGAGGCGAATCCCAAAAACATTAGATATATTTCTTTTGTTGCGCGCTCATTGCAACCCAGTGAACGACGCTATAGTACAACTCAGAAGGAGTTATTGGCAATTGTGTTTGCGCTGAAGAAGTTGCATTACTATTTGTGGGGCCGTCCCTTTACGCTTTTCACGGATCATCGCGCTCTTACTTTTATGCATACGCAGAAGGATATGAACTCGATGCTCACCGCATGGCAGGAGACTATTTTGGATTACACGTTTAAGGTTGTTTATCGACCTGGCGTTCTGAACGTTTTACCAGACGCTTTGTCTCGCCAGTTTCCTCAAGAATTGTGGACAGCCCGCATTCAAGGATCTGCTCCGAGCAAAATTTATGGTTACGTTCACTTAATCCAGGATGCCGACACTCAACGTGTGACGGTAGCTGTCTCAGAGAGAAGAGGAGTGTTAGTCGACGCACATGCGCTTGGTCACATTGGGACTAACGCCATGGTCAAGCATATTCATTCGTTGCAAAAGACGTGGCCTAATCTGGCCAAGGATTGCTTGGAGTATGTTCAGCGTTGCCAAGAATGCCAGCGAGTCAACATCGCACGCAAGGGATACCACCCTCTGACGGCCATTCATGCTCAGTTACCAGGTGAACATATGGCGGTTGATTTGACCGGTCCATTCCCTGTGGAGAGCGATGGAAACCTA